AAATGCTGTTGATGCCATTAAAGGGGGAAAGTCGATGCGTGCAGCTGCTACACAATTCGGAATATCATGGAGAATTTTGAATAACAATCTAAAGAAATCTGTCTCTATGGATTAATTACAACCAAATCACAAACATGCCATGGTTTTCACTGCTGACCAAGAGACTGCTGTGTTAGTGGATTACCTGGAATTATTAGTGGAAGCGTGTTCAAAAATGTTTAATGGGCTGACATTAGCCAATGTGAAATTATTAGCCTACAAGTTGGCCATAGTTAGTTAATGAAATAAAAGTACCTGAATCATGGCATAATAAGAAAGCTGCTGGTAAAAATTGATTGGCTTAATGGCTTTTGACACAAGGCATCCTCAATCCTCAATGGACCAACTGGAGTCAAGTAACTGGCAAGATCCACTGTCTTTAACCCACACACTATTCACTAACTGGCAAGAGCCACTGTCTTTAACCCACACACTATTCACTAACTGGCAAGAGCCACTGTCTTTAACCCATACACTATTCACTAACTGGCAAGAGCCACTGTCTTTAACCCACACACAATTGAAATATTTTTTTTAAAATCTAGAAGCAGCCATTTCTGCTAATAATTTGTGTGGTGGGCAAATTTACAATTTAGATGAGACAGGCTTAACTACTGTACAAAGAGTCCCTAAAGTTCTTGCCCCTAAAGGCTTGAAACAGGGTGGCTTCTAGATAGAAAGTTGAGTTATTGACCATGTGTGCCATAGTTTGTGCATTAGGTCAATTCTTACCTCCAGTCTTTGTTTCTCCAAGGAAGAAATTTAGAGACTGCTTTCTTTACGGCGCACCAAAAGGTGCACACTTGAACTTACAAGTTCATCTGGATGGATGACATCTGATTATTTAATTTTAGTTTTGAAACATTTTATTAAGCATGTTCGTCCTTCATCAACATATCCTGTTATGTTAATCATGGACAACCACAAAAGCCACCTATCCTATGAGGCATTGTTATTTGCTCCATTGCCGCCACACACCTCAAATAAAACACAGCCACTGGATAGATCAGTTTTTGGACCATTCAGAAGTGCATTCACACCCCAACCCATCAGTGTTCAGATCACTTGAGATTTTTCGAGGCTACCCAAAAGCAGGACCCATTTAAAATAATACTGGTACTAGAAAGAAAAGACAATCATTGATTGCCACATTATCACCTGAATTAAAAAAATTGCAGCAAGATAAGCTGATTAGAGACGAAAAGACATCACGTCCCTTAAAATTACAGGCAAAGCATTGATTTGAAAGTGATGATAGTGACTCTGACAAGCAATGATGATTTAGATAATTTTATTTCAGACTGTGAAGACTTGACAACTAATTGTGTTGAAATCAATGGTGTTGTAGAAGTTATGAAAGATGATTGTGTGCTGTGTGAGTATAGTGTAAAAAAGTCAGTGTTGTTTTATGTGGCTGTAGTGAGTAAGAAAGTGTTTGAGATGAAGATAGGGATGTGGAAGTCAAATTTTTAAGAAAAAGTGAGAAACTGACTGGAAAATTTATAAATTTTGTAAACCACAATCACATGTAGAAGACATTACCTGTGTGCCTATTAAAAACATAAAATGCAAACTTACAAAACTAGTCTACAAAAGACTGGGACAGCTAGGAATCTTTTTTACTTTAAAAAAAAATGAGTTCTTTAAATGTTAAATAAATTTTTGTTTTGCTCAAATTACATTTTTTCTACATTATTATGTTCAATAATATACATAAAATTTAAAATGGATCTTTTTAATTACATTACATATTGTATAGTGCATTACTACAACACAACAGAGAGAAAATTAATAGAAAATAGGTACAAATATTAATTTGTTTTAACCACTTTTTAGTTAGCCGAGCATTTCTCCCAACATGGTGGTCCATTTCTCCCTTCGCTATATCCATTTCTCCCCACCTACGTAGTCATCAGTTTCTTTTGAATTTTTAGAAAAACTATCAAAATTTATGAAAGTGCACATTTTTTAAGTGAACATTGGGGCTGGCTATTAACAAGCCAAATTTAATTGTTATAATTTTCTGTTCGTTTACACAAGCTGCATTCTTTGATCGATGTTCATTTGGTGGCCCATTTCTCCCGACTCTCCCCTACATCCCCATTTTTAGCATCTTCGAAATCTGAGTTTAATAGTTGTTTCAGTAAGTATCCTTTGAATACTTTTTTGTCCAGTTTCTAATTCTTGCCTTGAGAAGTTTTTTTTTTTTTTTTCAAACTCAAAGAGTGTGAGATTTTACCTTTTAATTTATTTTTTTTTAAAGTTCTATGGGTTTTTTTTCATCATTATTTAATTTTTTTTTTTTTTATTTTTTTTTTTTTTTTTTTTTGTCCTGTTTTTATTTCTTTCTTTGAGAAGTTTTTTTTTTTTTTTTCAAACTCAAAGAGTGTGAGATTTTACCTTTTAATTTATTTTTTTTTAAAGTTCTATGGGTTTTTTTTCATCATTAACACTAGCGCATAGGTTATGGATTGAACGAAGCTAAACAAATTTAGATTTTTAAAAAGTCATCCAGAGTTAAAAGGGAGGTGAATAATTAAACAGAACCTCAACTTAAATTAAATCTTCTTCCACATCATAAATGGACAATATTTACTTGGTGTTGTACATCATATCATAAACAAATGCCATAATAGTCCGTCATAATATTTCGCCATTATTATACCATTGTGGTACTGTTAAGCACCAGTGCCGGATCTTCCGATGCCGATCGTCTTCAAAAGAGGAAAAAGAAGGAATGGTTTCAATGTGATTAAACGGTTTCCGCTTAGAGCAATCTCTGAATATATTTCTATGACATACACGTCTTCTGGAAAAAAATGTAAAGCTTTTGATGTCTTTTAGTATAGATTACGTATAGACTAGGTACAGTTATTCACTTTAATTGGGAAGGAGCCTGATCGGTTGGTGTGAAAAACTAGCTATCATTCATCATATGGAGGCTGCATCAAAAGGTAACCTAAGGCAGGCCTGAACAACTCTAAATGTAAGGCGGGCCGTAATACTTAATGAAAAACTTGTGCGGGCCAAAAGAAAATAGGAAAGGGCTTGTGCGGGCCAAAAGAAAATAGGATAGGGGGGAAAGCTATTGGGAAAATAATAAGTATAAAGAATATTTCGTTACTTCACGGGCCGCAAAGTGGGTGACCCGCAGGCCGTATGTTGTGCAGGCCTGACCTAAGGGACCTGTACAATGCAACAAAGAGGCTGACAGGAAAGTTTCATCAGCAAAGCAGGCTGGTCAAAGACAAATTGGGGGGAAAAAAACTAACCAACAAAGATGAACAAAAGATGGCTAGAATATTTCAAAGAACTACTAAACAGGCTAGCCCCACATCAAGAACCACCTGAAATTCTACCTGCAGAAGAAGATCTACTTATTGAATGCATTGTACCCAACAGAACAGAAATAAAAAATGCAATCAAACTATTGAAAAATGGAAAGGCTGCTTGCCCTGATGGAATACCTGCAGAAGTAGGCCTACTACAGATAGACCTGGAACCATCATCAAGCATACTTAACCAGCTAATTGTGACTCCCTGGGACAAAGAAGAAATACCCATGGAGTGGAGGTAAGGACACTTGGTCAAACTTCTAATGAAAGGATATCTGCAAGAGTGTGGAAACTATAGAGGAATCATGCTGCTTTCTGCAACAGACAAAATACTAAATAGAATTATTCTGCAGAGAATAAAAAAAGCAATTGACTCCAAACTAAGAGATGAACAGGCTGGTTTTAGAAAAAACAGATCACTTACTGACCAAATTGCAACCCTGCGCATAATCATTGAACAGTGCTTGGAGTGGAATGCATCATTGTACCTAAATTTTGTCGACTACGAAAAAAGCATTTGATAGCTTAGACAGAGGTACACTCTGGAAACTACTAAGACTTGTGGTATTCCCCAAAAGCTAACTAATTAGCACTGCTACTGCTAGTGTCTCACAAATCACAAGGGACACTACCACATACAGGGACCTGAACCCAGTATAATCCGAGTTTTCCTGGTCAACACTCAATCATCTTACTTCTTTCGAAATAGACATTTTTCATGAACATAAATATTCCCCCACCCCCAGTCCTTCTTAATGCGAATCCAGTACTCCCTCTTCGTCTCCGTGTAACTTAACAAAATTAATTTGTCAAATATGAGTTTGCTTTGACCTATTAAATGCCAGAATTTGAAACTGGATAATTTATAAACAGTTCAAAGCTTAAATTCCACACGCACTAAAACTGGGAGGGGGGGGGGGTGAAGACAGAGAGGGAGATAGTACCGTAGTTAACTATCAGAATGAATGCCAAAAATGTATATTAGCTGTTAATAAGTGTTAATCTTATGTGCATTAGTGTACAGCCACACATGTTCTTTATTTACTCTTGATCTTATGTGCACGGGAGTTGCATTTCATATTTTCGGACAGCTGCTAAGTTTTTTTCATACAGGATAAAGCGGCAAATACATTGGCCAGGGTGGATCTAAAAGACACTTAACCCAGCTAAGCGGGCACTAGCCCAGCTAAGCCGGCACTAAACCCAGCTAAGCCGGCACTAAACCCAGCCAAGCCTGCACTAAACCCAGCTGAGCCGGCACTAAGCCCAGCTGAGCCGGCACTAAACCCAGCTGAGCCGGCACTAAACCCAGCTAAGCCGGCACTAAACCCAGCCAAGCCTGCACTAAACCCAGCCAAGCCGGCACTAAACCCAGCTAAGCCGGCACTAAGCCCAGCTAAGCCGGCACTAAGCCCAGCCAAGCCTGCACTAAACCCAGCTAAGCCGGCACTAAGCCCATCTAAGCCGGCACTAAGCCTATCTAAGCCGGCACTAAGCCCATCTAAGCCGCTGCTTATGTGCAGTAGAATACATAAAAAAATGTTTCTATTTCCAACTGGTCTGTCTATGTAAGAATAAAACAGATTTGATCAACAGCTTTTAAACCAAATTCATTAAAAAAAATTTTTTTTAATTCATTATGTTCTTAAATGGAGGCTTTTGTTTCCAAATAAAATTGTTAAAACTTTCACAAATTAAAGCAGAGGTGTTGAGATTTTGCACACCTCAGACCTAACATTTAGCATAACAACAGCAATTCAAAAATAAAAACAAATTTGAAATTTAGACTGAAAATAAAAAGAAAAAAAGTTTTGTTTTCATGAGGTTTTTTAATTTTATTTTGAGTCTGGCACAGTAGCAATAAATAATCAAGAAGGCAGGGGGAGATTACACAGAAATTTACAGTAATTAAACGTTTGTATGAGATTATCAACTCTTCTTTTCTTTCTTTGGAGCAACGGTCACATACAGAACAAAGCAGGCTGAAAAAAAATGTAGCAAACAAGTTAAATATAAAATCTTGTGGATCTTTTTAAAGAATGCAGCTTGAAGTCACACATTTCACAGTCATATTCTTTTTGTACAAGTTGAACATAAAACATCCTCCAATGGTTAACACAATATTTTAACTAAGAAGAATATTGATTGTGAAAAGCCACAAACACACAAAAAACACACCCAAAAAAAACAGTTCAAGTAATGAAACAAGATGGCAGCTGAAGAATCACTTGTTAAAAGATCACTCCATTTAGTGACTGATATTTTTATTACTGAATAAATTAATAAACATGAGAATAAAAAGATTTCAGAATGATTTTATTTCATTGTAATGACTTGATCAGCGAAATAAAACCACAGAAATATCTGTAACACATTTAAAAAATACGTAAATTCAGCGAATAATGAGAGCATATGTCAATTAGAAGAAAAAAAATATTTCAATGTCATCTACATGATTGTATTTACAATTTTTTTTTAAAAATTGGGACAGGATAATTTTAACAAAGAATTATTGGGCCTTCTCTGAAATTAATCATTAACTTAACCATAAAAAATAGTGCCATATTTAACTTACCCATCAAAATTAGCGCCATCTTTAATTTACCCATAAAAAATAGCGCCATCTTTAACTTACCCATATAAATTAGCGCAATCTTTAACTTATCCATCAAAATTAGTGCCATCTTTAACTTACGCATAAAAAATAGCGCCATCTTTAACTTACCAATCAAAAATAGCGCCACAACACCAGCTAAAAGTGGGGCTGCTATGGCATAAACTCGGGGAAGAAAATAACTATGAATTGGCTGGTCTGGATCCACAAAAGGCTGAGGAGTAGAAAACATTAAAAAGGCAGATAAACCATTAATGCAATGATATTAAAGTAGCAATGGAAAAATGTTTTGTTTTTTTTAATTGCAACAGGTGAGAGAAATTATATATGCCAGCATTCAGATTGCTTGAAATTAAGTTTTCAAGAAAATAAAAATAATCAAGCTAAAAGACCTAAACAAACAAGAGGAATGCTGTTCTCTCGGATACTCCGTTACAGGTAAGTGTAAAATTATTTTTATTTAATTCTGTTTTTACTGTTGTTTGTGTGCTGATGAAGGCTTCTTGCTGACACGTCAGTTGCTTTATTGTGTAATTTTCTTTCTCTCTAGGTTTTCCCATACTTGGTTTCGCTCATTTCCTTCTCTCTAACCGATTGCAGTCTTTCCCCCCTTATTACCAGTCTGCTTTTCACGAAGGACAATATTTGAGTTAACATGCAAGCACGAGTGACATGACACATGTCTTATAAAGCACAAGTGACATCACAAACTTCTTACAAGCACAAGTGACATGACTCACTTCTTACAAGCAAAAGTGACATGACACACTTCTTACAAGCAAAAGTGACATGACACACTTCTCACCAGTATGATCACCCAGATGGAATAATAGGTGAATATAAATCCAGCAAGAGAAACAAGGCCCCAACCTGCTGCTTGGTCAGCGCCTGGAGCCTTGATGAAGAGAAGATAATTAACATTGGGAGACATTGTAGAGTAAAGCTATTGATTAAATGTTGTACTTTCAACATAATAAGACTAGAATTAAATGTGTTGGTCCTTTTCAATGTCAAATTTAAATGATATTAAATACATTATTTTTTATTCTATTTCAACTGATTCGTTTGTACCTAGTTACAATGCTAAGCAGTCATATACAGCTCAAATGTAGTTTAATAACTTCTGTTGAAATTAGTAATGATAGATGCAGAAGGTTTTACACCAAATGTATGTGATGTTGAATGCGACAAATGAATGTAACAAATGTATCTGAAATTGTCTGTGACAAATGTATCTGACAATTTCGCATGTTTCTTAAAAATATAAGTGACAAATGTTACTGATAAATGTAAGTGACAAATGTACAGTGGCAGATAATTTTCAAGAAATCAATCATTTCAACAACAAAAATGTAAGAGTCAACGGTTCTTGAATTTGTTCTGTTTATAAGATCAAAAGTCTCAAATTCACATCTAAATCTAAGATTGTATGTATCAATTTGTTTCCCTTTCAATATCTTTAGGCCATGTGTCGAATTTAAGAATGGTCCACTTTTGCAAGCATGTCATAAAGTAAATCAACAGATTGCTAAACATCCAAAATACAAAAGATTTGACTCCACATGGTATAAACCAAATCCACAATTTTACATAGCTGCCATGTCTTTTTCCTGTTTAGTTTTTAAATTATACTTCCGCTCACTTCCTTTCCATTCTTCTGAACTTTGTTTTTGTCAGGGACTTGGGCCCACGCTTTTTCTTTCTCTCATTTTTAAGTATGATTCGTTTATAATATATAGATTATGTAAATTTAATTTATGCTTGTATGAATTTTTTTTAATGTTTTTTTTTGTACTGATGAAGGCATTTTCTGAAACATTTACATTTGCCTTCTGTAAAATTATTATTAAAGCTGATGAATGTATATTGTTTTATTTACACAAATTGTTTATGTTTCATTAATCTACAAAAGATTTGAAATGGCAATGCATTAAAATATATACATCACCTTGTTGTGTGGAAGACTTACTTAACTTTTATAAAAACTAATTCTAATAATTGAAAGCATTGTGGCTGTGTATGGGTAACACAAGGGTTTATAATAGTAACATTTTCGTACAGTTCTCCTTAAAAAAAAAGTCACTTTCTAAACATATTAAAGTAGATGCTTTCATCACGTATCTAACAATGATCTGCAGGATCAATGATTGTTATTCCAGGGCTGTGTCACAATAGACTGTTCTTAAAATACAGGCCCAAAAAAATGTTTGTTCCTGCAACATTTAAATATACTGATCAGTCCAAAATAACAGTAACATACTAGTTTTGCCTTCCAAATGTTGTTGTAAAATGTGCAGCAAAGTAGAGAAGATAAGACTTTTTATTGATCCACATAAATGGATTTTAAAAAAAATTACATTGTACATTTCATTTTCACCACATAAATAAATACATATTTTAACCAAAACAACATATTACAATTACAACAATTTAAGCACAAGACATCTTAAGTATTTCTCTACCATAGAAAACAGCCATCAATGAACTTACAATAATGACTTCATTAGTGATCATTAAACCTATAATAGTAGGTTATGTGTTCTTGTGTTTGACTAACGATTCAAACTTTCTAAAAAATCGAAAATAATTGTGTAATATGCTTATTAATAACCTACAAGCTTAAAGCATTCAACCTTTCATCTTTTATACTTTTTATAAATCTTGTGAATATTGACTTTTGTGCAATAAATGACATATTTTTAGGCTTGTTTTTTTTCAGTTACATTTTTTCTCACAAATAAATTTGTCATTTAGTCTAGATCTATATTTTTTTTTTACTTAGCCTATATTTTTTAATGTGATATATATAGTGATGGGTGGCCTAAACTGAGTCAAACCCAAGCTTGTGGACTGGAGTCCAATCCTCAGCAAAAGCCTAGACTAGCAAAAACAACACCAGCACCCTGGGTGGATGGGACTTATTAATTATTAACCTTGGATGACAACTCATATCAGAGCAGGCAAACTCTGAAATCAAACCAGTAGGTGGCATGATATTGACACAAAGAAAATTCTGACAACTTTAGTATCGTGGAAGCATAAAGAGCACAGTGAAAAACATTTTTTTTAAACACTGGTCTTCTACTGCATTATGGTCTATTTTCAATCATTTTGACTCAGTCTTGACATTGGATCAAATATGCAAGGATGAGAGAGTGAGGTTGATGAACTGAGTAACTCTCCCTAACTGAAAACAAAATACAGCTCCAGTCAAGGCAACTACTGAAGCCTTGGTCATCTTCCCTTGTGGAGGAGGAATAGTATATAGTGCACAATCATATATATTATAAATATTCATTTTTTTTTTTAATTTAAGTAAAAAAAAAAAAATCAAGTTAATCAACACAACTAAATAAATATTAGAAGTTATAATGTCAACATTACATAGTTTCTGTGTAACTTTAAACAAAAATCGGTGTAATCTTTGGGGAATTAGTCATGTTCACTTTTGTTAGTTTTGACTGTTTGGTACCAAATAGGCCTATCTTACTACCTGTGATAAGTCTGCTATGACAAAGCCTATTATAGCCTAGAATAGATATTCTGGTATTTTAAATTTAAGGCTTCATATTATTTTTGCCAATTTCTACCCCCTCCTCACATCATCATAAATTCGTGACAAAATTTAAAAGACCCTACTAATACATAATCATAAAGACTTAAAAATAGGATGCTAAAATATGGATATTCATTTGTAATTGTTGTGCACAAAATCATAAAATGTCTTGTTTTATTTTGCACGGTGAGTCTTGTGTGTTAGTTTTGTTGATGAACACTTTTGATGAGGCATGTGATGTATTGTGACATGATTTTCATGTGTCTATGACTGTCGTTGAGTGAGTACTATTCATTTTGGCAGTTGCTGCCTGAGCATTGAGTGAGAAGGTTGTATTATTTTTAACTAGCAAACTGCATTATATGTGTTTTAATTATTGTAAGACCAGATGACTGAGTCTGAGATAAAAATGTTGTTTGTTCTTGAAATACGAGTTGTGTTCAGTTATTCAGATTACATCATATGAATGTGTGAATGAACTTGAGATATGAAACCCAATGAATGGCCAAGGGGCCATCCATAATATATGTAATTATAATGTCATATATGGATTGCCCCTTGTCCTTGCCTAATGAGGCCTTGGCCATTCATGGCCTTTTACTATCATCTTAACTCTAAAGATTATGATAATCTACATATGATTATGATTGTTGAAATAAATGTGAGTGCCTTCACTTTCACCCCACTCTTGACATTGAGTGGATGCACTGAACAATAACTTAGCAAGTCTAATTGAGTCTACTCTCACTTTGAACTTTTTAAAGCTTGTTTTTGAACCGAGGCACTCAATCCATTGATGACAATGATGAAGAATATGAAAATCAATGATCGGAAACAACACAACGTTGATGAGATGTCAGATGATGGTAAAAGTTGAGAGGTCGTCCCGCGATGACCGCCATCTTGATTGACAATCAGATAATTCTGTCACTAATGTATCCCTAAACTATGCGGCTGAGTATGCGGCTATGCCTAACCTGAACCCTAAATCAATCCTTCAACCTAACCTAAACCTTAATTCACTGCAACTATAATAAACACGCAAATGACGTCACGGGATGATCTCTCGACATTAGTTTAGAGTTTAGATGATAATGACATAATGTAACTTAGTAATAGTATCTAATAGTAATATTAATATAAATTAATAATATATATTATGTAGTCGATAGGGCCTAAAATCAACAGAAGGTAGTCTAATGTTGTTGTTGTTTTTTTAATGTGTATCTTGATTCTAAAAGAAACATAAATAACTTTACCATTACTTCTTTTATCAGATGATTTTTTTGTTATTTTTTCAGAATAATTAACTTCACCGGCCAGTGTGAGTCTAAAACTAAGCCACTAACTAAGACAAACTTGAAATATAGTACTTCAATATCTGAAGATTTCCAGTCAAATAGCTAAAGGTAATATTTTTTTCAAAAGAAAAAAAAAAAATTTTACCAGCTGATTGTAAAAACTTTAAAACAAATAGCTATGACTTAAACTATTTATATGTTCCTTAAAATTAATTACGCTAGTTGCTAAAAATAATTCATCACAGTATGTTTCTAATTTTATTTATCAGATTTTTAATTTATACTGGTTGTATTTTCAAATAAAACTTTTACTTCTTTATTTTAAAATATTAAGTACAAAGTTTGTTCTCTTTTGATTTATCTGGATTTTTTAAACCAGATCTGAAGTAGAAATTTTGTTTCGCTTACTTTAAAAGTCTTCTACAACGTGAAGAGCTATTATAATTATCTGTGTGAATTTCTATGGCATTAAGCTTAAACTTTTATTAACATGATCATGGTTAATTCTATTTTGAGGTATATATTGAGACTACTTTCTTCATGTTTAAATTTTATCTGATTTTAATACAAACTTATTATTAAGTCTAACTTCAAAGTTGCCTACTTCAAGTAGCTTGTGGTTAAGTTAAGTTAAAATAAAGTTAGTGTTGAGCGACTACCCGTACCCACTCTCACTCTCACACTTTTGACTTACCAGGCCTAATAATTTATAGACTTGGCAAATGTATTTGACTATTGGTCTATTGAATTTAATAAAAGTTTGCAAATTGACACTGAGAGTCATTAAGGACATTCATTTACTATTATTATTACTATTCACAGCAATGCTTGTTTAAAAACAACCTTTTTAAAAAAAATTTAAAAAGTAGATGAGTCACTTAAAGTTAAAAGTAAAAGTAACTTAAAATTAAGTTTATATTTACAAAATTAAAATGAGCCTTTTCTCTTAATATTATTGAGTATTAAACTGCCAAAAATGCATTATTATTAGGGTTAACTTTTTATTGCTTAATTTTTAGCCTTAACTTTAACTGACTTAAGGGCACTGAACTTAGACACTATACTATAGTATCGACTATAGTTAGGCTTAATACTTAACAAAATAATTTGTAGGCCTTAGTAAACTTGCCATAGCCTAAACTATGAATAGGTCTGAGCCTTCTCTGTAACGCATAATTAGAAATCATTTTAAAAATTGAACTATATATAAAACGAAGCATTTTCTTAGATAATTCATCGGAGTTATTAAATTTAAGATACAAAGATATTCTGATTTTTTAAAATAATGTATGAAATCTTGTAGGCCTAATGATTTTTCGCTATCCTAATTATAAATTTTAAAATCATTTTTTTAAAATCTAGTTTTAATCCTATTTTCAGGATCAAGAGAATTTAAAGACAACATGGCCCAAAGAAGAACATTCTTTGATCCATATAGACCGAATTCACAGCAGTTCCCTGCAGGGTATGGCCGTGGCACCTCACACAAGATGGCCTCCGATAACAAAAACAGAATGCCTTACTACATCCCAGTGTATCAGCCACGACCATATTATGCAAATCAGCAAAACTTTGAGTACAATATGCATGCAGCTGATAAGTGGACAATGGGGCTGAGAGATGAAATCCCCATACATAAACAGGTCTTGCCAAATAATGTCATGGAAAGTTATCGAGAAGAGTTACAAACTTTATGGTTGGTGGACAAGGACAACAAAGCAAAATGTGAAGCCATTTACTCAAAATTAGAAACCATTTTCAAAGATAACCCAAATCCTTGGGAAACAGCTTTCTATATAATAACATCTGCCTCTGATTACACCTTAGCTAAGACTGTGACACTGTCATTTACTGTGTTAATTCAGTTTCAAAAGTGGGTATTTTCCCCGGCCAACATATTTCGTGGTAGAGAAGATGAATATCTCTCAGAGGATCTTCATTTACGAGTATTTCATGCTATGACAGGGAAACACATGGCCTATTTTAATCCTGCAGTTAAAGCATTCATGTTGGATCGACCAGGAAATGAGTACCTTTTACCGGCGACAAAATCTTTATTGGCACGAAATAAATTAACAGAGGTAATTTCTGTCAAGGTGAAACAAGGGCTTAATGTCTTAAAATGGAAAATGACTGTGGTGTCTGGAGAACACTTAAGAACTTCTATAATTTTTGCTGTGGAAGATGAAATTAAATGAAACTATTTGTTTGTTGTTAAACTTTATGGAACATGTTTTAATTTCAAAAAATTATTTTCTGCAGTGTGCACAGATAGTTGCTAGACTAGGACTTCAGTCTCACTTTTCTGAGAATGAGGTAAGCCTATTCTTTTAACAGAGGTAGAGGTGTTGAAGATCAACAATTAAGTGCCACTCCTTTATTTTAGGAATCATAGAGAAGTTTATTTTGGATCAGATAATTTTTAAAGATTTTAGTGGTGTCACTTTTGTGAAGAATTTGTTGTGCTATTCTTCACTTTCACCAGATCTACAAATGTTTCACTTTTTGTACATTTTGTTTAGATTTGTCTGTATGTCTGAATAGTATATTCATTATACAGTGTGATGTAATCCCCAGTCTCAATGGTTGATTACCATCTTTTTAACTTCAGTTTTTGTTTTAAATTATTTACTTCCTCTCAAAGAAAAGCTGCCTCCTTGTTGCAATGAGTTCATTCCATCCAGTAATTTTCCCATAGCTTGGGTTGACTCAAGTTGAATTTGAACCTAATACGACTGAGATATCAGACATGTCTTCATGATAATGTCAGGCATGATTATAAAAGAATAATTTATCAAAATCTCATCTTTGTCTTATTCGATCATTTGCTATCAATTATCTGGTTCTGGTAGTGTTAGTTGCTGTGTTAGTTGCTGCATCCATATACTGGCATATGTGCAATGGTTGGGGAAATGATTTTTCTATCTAACAGCTCCTTGCAGATGCCAGGGCAGCCTTATTATCTATAAATAATTTTGGCTGTACATCCTTTCAAAGCTATTGTGTTTTGTTGAATCTAATTGAACCTTTTCATTAAAAACTATCTTAGATACTACTTCCTCTTCTGCTGACTGACAAGGTGAATGTGATTGAGTCATACATAACCGGCCATCCTGACCAGCAGGCTTTGATACTAACCATCCTAGACCACCTCTGCTCCAGAAACACAGATGTCATTTCCTTTGCTCAGTACGCTTTGATTTTAATACCATAGCCATACAATATTTATAAGCATTAAAAAAAAAAAGCATTTTGTATCACACAGGGCAGTGGAGAAAGAGCCATTAACAAATTCAAAAAATTATTGTAAATTTTTGCTTAAAAGTTATATATCTTATAGTTATGTACTCAGTACACAAAACAATCATGTCACTTATATGAAATGTCATATTGTCCCCCACTGGAGATTTAATTTACTGTCATAGCATTTTAAAAGCTTTAATCACAAATTAATTAAAGGTACCACAGCTTTTTTTTTTAGCTACATAATTTTCTGTATGTTATTCAAACACTATCGATCCCATTCTGTGCAGGAGTACGGGTATAAAATCTATTAAAGGAGAGAAGCTGAGTAAAAAAGTGCTAAGCAAGTTTGCCATGAGATTAATGAAACTATATGACATACCGCCAGGTGAGAGACTTTTTGTGATGGTCTGAAAATTCCAAGATTTTTAGTTTTAAAAAAAAAACAGAGGAAAGTCTTTTTACCGGTATAAATAACTCTACAAAATTATGCCACGTCGACAAATGTTAAAATAGACTTTTACCATCGCCATTTTGTTTTTTATTATTTAGATTTTAAGGTTACTGCATATCAGATTCATTAAATGTTAATCAGTGTTTCTCAAACTTTTAATGTTTATTGTCCCCCTTCAATCTTTTAAATAGCATGATCATTAGAAACATACTTCACGCAGTACATTTTTTAAAAATGTATACTTAAGATAAATTATAATAAATAAATGCAGGATAAACTATTAGAGAAACACTGATTGAGTCATTCTAGTTTCTTCTGATATAAAGATGTTTTTTTCAAAGACATGAACATTTTGTGATTACAGAGGCATGCCCTAACATCTCAGAGAACCGTGCCATGGGAGCTATCAGATATTTGCTTTATAAACGATACATTGAGGTAAACTGTCCAGAGCCTTGCGCTGGCTCATCAGATCTATGCAAACTTTTATGCTTTATTTTACTGATTTAAAAAACTTGATATCCGCCAAGCTAAAATTTGAAATATTTTTACAATGTAATTTAATCTTACAATATCTTCAATCAGCTCTTTAATGATTCTGTCAAAATATTCAAAGAGCACTTTTAGGGCTGATTTTAATCCATTAAAATGTACATCTTTATTCGCATTTTTTTTGCTCTTAATAGCACAACTCGAGGTGGGGTTAGACGCAAAGTTTCTGTAAAGATATATTACCTCTAAAGCATGTGTTTTATTGCGATTTTCATTCATGTAATTTTTCTTTCAGAAGTCGATTGGTTATGAAGGCTGGGATGATATGGTAGAGGTGGGTAAAACAATTCATCAAGGATTTTTTTTGTGGGGGGAGTAATCCTCTTTAATAATAAGCGTTTTGCTAGACAAACAAACATGCAATTTATTACACTATGGATTAGCATAAAATACACGAATATTTATTACACTATGGATTAGCATAAAATACAAGAATATTTATTACACTATAGATTAGCATAAAATACAAGAATATTTATTACACTATGGATTAGCATAAAATACAAGAATATTTATTACACTATAGATTAGCATAAAATACAAGAATATTTATTACACTATGGATTAGCATAAAATACAAGAATATTTATTACACTATAGATTAGCATAAAATACAAGAATATTTATTACACTATGGATTAGCATAAAATACAAGAATATTTATTACACTATGGATTAGCATAAAATACAAGAATATTTATTACACTATGGATGAGCATAAAATACAAGAACATTTATTACACTATGCATTGGCATAAAATACAAGAATATTTATTACACTATGGATTAGCATAAAATACAAGAATATTTATTACACTATGGATTAGCATAAAATACAAGAATATTTATTACACTATAGATTAGCATAAAATACAAGA